TGGGCTACATGGGAGTCCAGCGACATAGCCATTCTGCTAACTGCTGGTCCCAGTGGCTTGCTTTCTTACTTAGCCTTCCCCCCCCCCAACCCTGGTCAAATGGAAATAAATGAATGAATAAATAAAACTAAATCTGTAAGAAAATTTTACATACTAGCGCTGATGAAGTAAGTAATGAAGCTCTGTAGGCTGGTCAGCATCACAGACGGGGCCAGTTGAGACTATCTGAACTCATTTAAAAAATGGGGCCGGCAGGTGGCGTGGTGGTTAAGAGCACTGGACTCCCACACGGCTGATCACGGTTCGAGTTCTGGACCTGGCAGCTTGCTTTCTCACTTTCCCCCTCTTTCCGCCTCTCTTTGGTCAAATTAAAATAAATTTGATTGTAGATTCATAATTCATATGATAATGTGTAGTATTAGTAAATTAAAGCGATAGCTTGTTAATATGAGTTAGGCATAGCTTAAGAAAACTATTATGGGGACCAGCAGTTGGCATAACGGCTATGTCGCTGGACTCCCATGTAGTCGACCGTGGTTCATGTCCCAGACCCAGTGGCTTAAAACTCACGCCAGGCGCGTGCGCGTGCGCGTGCGTGCCCAAGATCCTGAGAGGAGAATGGAGGAGAAGGGATTGTGGTGTGTCCATCCCCGCTGCAGGGTGATTTCTCGCTTTCTGTCTCTCTGTCTTTCTGGCGAGCGCTTGTGCCCTATAGCAAAAATCTCTCAAAACAATAAAGAAGGAATCGTCCTTTGGATCTCCAGTATGTGACTTTTCACAGCGGGAGAGAAGCAGCAGCTGAATGGTAGCCCTTATGGTCCCTTCTCCTTCCTCCTAGGTTTGAACGGTCAAGCAGTACCAATCTGGGTAACCATGGCAGAAGGAGGGTTCGATCCCTGTGAATGCGTTTGCTCTCACGAACATGCGATGAGGAGGCTGATCAACCTGGTAAGACGAACAGGGCCGTCCTCAGAACCGATGGGCAGCCTTTCGATCCTGTTGTGCGAATGCCCGTTGCTAGAGGAGTTTCCTCTGATGGTCACTGCAGAGTATTTGGTAGTTGGAATTCCACAGTGGTTTAAATCATAGCGATTAAAATACCTGCCAGCCAATTTCATAGGCACTGGCTATGAAAACAGATTGCGGCCTTTATTTGTGATAGATCCATGTTGGTGAAATTCACCGTCGTGGGTAGATAATGTATATAACCTTTTCTGCTCTGGCTGAATACAGGTAAGTCGTTTTAGCTCTATGGGTTTGCCTGCTAATAAGCTGCTTCGGACTCACAGTTCCTGGAATGGTCTGATTCAAGTCTTACTCTCATCTATGGCGTGGCAGTAAACAACTAAAGTGTTTCCATATCTAAAGCAGTGATTGGACAGAGGTAGATTTTTTTTTTTTTTGAGAGTTTTTTGCTATAGGGCGTGTGCGCTCGCTGGAAAGACAGAGAGAGACGGAGAGACAGAAAGCAAGAAATCACCTCCCAGGGGGATGGCCACACCGCAATCCCTTCTCCTTTCTCCTCTCGGGATCTTGCGTGCGCATGCACACATACCTGGTGTGAGTTTAAGCCACTGGGTCCGGGACTCGAACTGTGGCTGACTACATGGGAGTCCAGCGACATAGCCATTATGCTAACTGCTGGTCCTGACACAGGTGGATTTCTGAACAGCAGAGAATGTACTGTCTCTTTAAATTGACTGTAGTGAGATTCGAATTGGAAGGTTCTTAAGACTTTCCTAGTTTATAAGCTTAATTACAGGTCTGTTTATTTTATAATTTTTATTTGCAGAAGGAGAAATTTGACCAGAGACAGTAATGTAAATTCTTACTATTTTTTTTTTTTTTATGTAAAGTCATCTTTAAGTTGTAAACACATGAGTTTGATATGCTAACCTGGATAAATCTTTGTTTATGGTCAGGAAAACCTGAATTTTGTTAGGTGAATGAAAGTGAAATTAAATCCTAAGAATTGTAGTTAGAAAACCTGACATGGATCTCTAAAAACTATATTTTTGTTTATTTTTACTTATTAATGTATTTCTTAGAATTCTTTTTATTTAATTTTATTTTAAGAATTTTTTGGGGGAACCAGTAGGTGGCATGGTGGTTAAAGCTTTGGACACTCCCACATGGCCAACCATGGTTCAAGTCCTGGACCTGGTGGCTTGCTTTCCCACTTTCCCTCTCTCTCTCTTTTTCTGTCTCTCTCTCTGGTCAAATTAAAATAAGTGAATGAATAAATAAAATTTAAAAAAGAATTATTTTTATTTTTCAGCTTTTATTTATTTATCTTAATTTGACCAGAGAGAGAGAAAGTGAGAAAGCAAGCCGCCAGGTCTGAGACTTGAACTGCGGTCGACCACGTGGGAGTCCAGTGCCCTTAACCACCACGCCATCTGTCGGTCCCGAGAATTCTTTTTATTTTTAACATTTGTTTGTTTATCTGTCTCTTTGTTGTGATTTCCTCCAACTCTACCTCCCAGAACTTTTTGCCATAAGGTGTGTATGGTGCTGGAGAGACAGAGATAAAGTGAGAAATTACTCCCAGGTCGCGGTCGGGGGTGGCCGCACCTTAATCTTTTCTCCTCCATTTTCCTCTCAGGATTTTGGCCACGCATGCACACGCACCTCATGTTAGTTTCAAGCTGCTGAATCTGGGACTTGAACCGCAGTCCACCATGTGGGAGTCCAGCGCCTCAATCACTATACTACCTGCTGGCTCTACATCTGTTGTGATTTTCAAGCCACTGGGTCTGAGACTTGAAACTTCATCAGCCACGTGGGAATCCAGTGCCTTAACCACCACGCCACTTGCTGGCTTCTCTTTTTATTTTTTGTAGTTCGTATCACTAGAGAGAAAAAGAGAGAGAGAGAGAGAGACCCCAAGGGAGAGCAAGAAATCACACCCCACTTCCCGGGATGGCCACACCACAATTCATCCTCCTCTCAGGATTTTGGGCACAGAAGCCCAGAGTGATTTTCAAGGTGCTGGGCACGGGACTCGAACCACTTAGCCAGCCGTGTGGGATCCAACATCTTTAACCTCTGTGCCACCTGCTAGTCCAGGACTGTATTTTCTTTTTCTTTCTTTCTTTTTCCATAGGGCACGGGCACTTGTTGGAGAGACAGGAGAGAAATCACCCCATGGGGGGATGGCCCCAGCACAACCCTTCTCTTCCTTTCTCCTCTCAGGGTTTTAGAGACGCACGCACACGCGCCCGATGTGATTTCAAGCCGTGTGGTCCGGGACTCGAACTGCAGTCAGCTTCATGGGAGTCCAGCGACATAGCCATTACGCTTACTGCTGGTCCCAGGAGTTCTCAAACTTTTTGAAGAGTGCCTCAGATACCCTCTTAGTAGCAGTTTCCAGTTACCTAGCAGGGAGCGGACCGCTTGAGCTCCAGTTAGTCCTCCTGCTGTTAAAGGCAGTGGCTCGAGCTGTTATCTCAGGGGTCTGAATGACTGCTAGTAAAGCACTACTCGAGGGCGTGGTGGAAGAGTGGAGGTGCGTGAAGAAGGCGTCAGTCTGGACAAAATGAATGCCCAAGCCGTGCCCCAGCCTGGGCCAGCCAGCGTGCTGCTGCCCTGGTTCCTGACGTGCATGTCCAACCGTCCATGCATCTTCTCCAGCCCGGTAACTGCTGAGAATCTTGAACTTGGCATGCGCATAACCCAGCGTCTTATCTGGCCCTGAGCTTCCACTTCTCTCAGTCTCTCCCCTGTTCATTCATTGTCCTGGTTGCCCAGCAACAACTTTGTCCTGTCAACTCCCTATCTGATAGAGGAACGAGTCCGTTGGGCTCAACCTTAAAAATAGACCCGGGGTCCAGCCATTGCTCACATTTCCAGTGCAGTATCCTCGTGTGATTTCCCGTCACCTCTCCTGGATATCTGCAGAAAAAAACACCTTAGCAGTCTTCTTACTTCTGGTCATTTGGCCATGCCCTACTCCCTTCACATTAGTCTCATCTCAGCAGCTGAAGTGACCTATTTGAGATAAGTCAGATGATGTTTTCTGTTTGCTCAGAATTCTGCAGTAGCTCCCATGACGCTAGAGTGAAAAAGTATTTTTACGCATCCCCGAATGATCTGTCCCTTTCTGCCCTGCTCTTCTCTGCTCACTTCGTCCTCACAGTCCTGGCCGCCTTGCTGTTCCCCTGGAAAACAGGACGCATGCTAAAGATCACATGCTGATGGTTTTAGACTTCTCAACAAGACAGCTGTGAACTGGAAGGCACTGGAAAATGACTTCACAATTCTCAAGGGGGGGCCAGCAGGTGGCATGGTGATTAAGGACACTGGACTCTCACATGGCCGACCGCAGTTCGAGTCCGTGCCCTAGCAGCTTGCTTTCTCACTTTCTCTCTCTCTCTTTCTCT